CAGGATGTCGGGGGGGCGGTACCAGAGCGTCACCACCTCGCTGGAGAACGTCTTGGTGGGGATGGACTTGGCCCGGGCCAGGCCTGGGATAGGAGAGAGAGGGTTAAAAATGGGGGTGGACTTGGCCCGGGCCAGGCCTGGGATAGAGGAGAGGGTTAAAAATGGGGATGGACTTGGCCCGGGCCAGGCCTGGGATAGGAGAGAGAGAATTAAAAATGGGGATGGACTTGGCCCGGGCCAGGCCTGGGATAGACCAGAAAGGGTAAAAAATGGGGATGGACTTGGCCTGGGCCAGGCCTGGGATAGACCAGAAAGGGTAAAAAATGGGGATGGACTTGGCCCGGGCCAGGCCTGGGATAGACCAGAGAGGGTTAAAAATACCCGGGGGGATGGACTTGGCCCAGGCCAAGCCTGGGATAGAGGAGAGAGGGTTAAAAATGGAGATGGGATGGACTTGGCCCAGGCCAGGCCTGGGATAGGAGAGAGAAAGGGTTAAAAATGGGGGTGGTTTGGGGGAAATTGGGGGGAAATTTCAGGGAAAATTGGGGCAAAAGATCAGGGGAATTTGGGGGAAATTGGGGGGATGTTGTGGGGAAAATCGATGGGAAAAATCGGGGGAAAAAATTGGAGAGAAATTGGGGGAAAATTGAAGAAAATTTTGGGGTCTCAGAGAGGTTTTTGAGTGTTTTGGGGCTTCTGGAGTTCCTGGGACAGAATTTTGGGGGTTTTGGGGTGTCCCAGGACAGGATTTTAGGGGTTTTGAGGTGGTTTTGGGTGTTTTGGGGTGTCCCGGGACAGGATTTTTGCGGGTTTTGGCAGTTCCAGGACAAGATTTGGGGGGTTTTGGGGAGGTTTTTTGTGGTTTTGGTTTCTCATGGGACAGGATTTTGGGGTGTTCAGGGTGTTTTTTGGGGTGCTCTGACCGAAATCGGCGAGTTTGAGGTCGCCGCGGCGGCTGAGCAGGAGGTTCTGGGGTTTGAGGTCGCGGTGCAGCACTTTGTGCCGGTGGCAGAAGGCGAGACCCCGCAGCAGCTGGAACAGGAACAGCTGCCCCCACCCCAAAAAATGGGCATTGGCACAAATCCCCCACACAAATCCCCAAATCCCCCACAAAAATCCCCAAATCCCCCACAAA